AAGATGCTACAATAACATACTCAGTTTGATTTTACAAATAGAATTTGGGGAGGGTGAGATATACGTAGACCTTACCTCTACCTTGTGAGAGATAGAGAGATTATTTTCGATATATTCTTAGATCAAGAAAAATATTTTTAAAACCGGTTTAAAAATACGACTAAAAAGTTATGGTAAAAATATTGTAGAAATGAAAGGAAAAGTACTGTCAGCAAAAGTAGTACAAATGCCCAAATAAACGAAATATCACTAATAGATTTGAAGAATAAGACAATAATAGGATAATAATAATGATACTGATAAGCAGAAGATGGAGCAAATCGGGTGCTCTTGTAACGACCCGACTGACTGTTTTGCTTTCTAGATCCACGTTCCCCTAAATAAGACTTTTCATATGTATTTTTATTGTATTATGACTTGCGGGGAGGGTTAGTTCGGGTTTGGAAGAGTTCGGGTTGAAATTAGAACACTTAGTTCCTTAACATTGGCTTAAAAAGGTTAAGTTTGACTTGGGTTAATATTTTGAGTAAACGACGACCTCGGACCGGGATTTAACGATCCCGATAGGTTCGTATGATAATTTTGGACTTGGGCGTATATTCGGATCGGGTTTCGGATGACCCGGAAGCGTTTCGGCGCACAAAGTTGAAAGTTGGAGCATTGAAGGTTTTAAAGTTCTTTAAATTTAGTTTGAAGTAGGTTTTGGTGCTATCGAGGTCTATTTGGGATTCCGAGACTGGAGATAGTTCTGTATGATTATTTGTGATTTGCACGCAAATTTGGTGTTATTCTGAGTAGCCTACATACGATTTGGCGCTTTCGGAGCATGTTGAAAACTTCAAGTTCATAATTTGATTCAATTCGGTTTTAGGGTGCGATTATTAGTTTCGGTATTGTTTTACGTGTTTCGAGAGTTCGAGCAGGTCCGTATCATATTTATGGACTTATTGGTGTATTTGGACAAGGTCTCGAGTGGCTTGGGTATATTTTGGACCGTCCAGAGTTAAGTTGAAAACATCAGAATTTTCTGTTCTGGTTTCCTTCTTCGCAAACGCGGAGAAGTAATCGCGTTCGCGATGAAGGAAAGGGGCTGGGTGGAATATTTCACTATGCGTTCTCGAGATGAAGACCACGTTCACGGAGCTTTTGGCCACTGGCCTTCGCTTCGCGCTCAAGCCTTCGCATTCGCGAAGTGAGAGGCCAGTTAGGGAGGGGGTCAATCTTTGCCCTTCGCGTTCGCGAAGAGGCCATCACGTTCGCGATGGGCAGGCCAGCTAAGCCTTCGCGTTCACGTGGCCTTTCCCGTGTTCGCGAAGGGTATATTTTCTAGGCTTGGCTTTTTGGTTTTCGCGATTATAGAGGCCCAATCGCGAACGCGTATAAGGACCACTAGGCAGAAACATTTTGAAAATGGGACTTAGGATATTTTTGGCTCATTTCTTTCATCTCTTGGGCGATTTTGGAACTCTTGAATAGGGGTTTTCACCTAACATTTTGAGGTAAATAATTTTATATGAGATGAATTTAATACATAGATTATGGGTAGATTTTAACATGAAAATTTATGAAAATTATGTGTTTAGTTGACAAATCTAGCTTTTGATAAAAATGGGATTTAACCATGAAAATGATTATGAAACTGAGTGAAAATTATATATTTGAGTTCGTGAGGTTTTGGATAACAATTATCTTCAAAATTTTCCGGGATTCGGGCATGTGGGCCAGGCGGTAAATTTTAGGAATTTTCCAATTTGGGTTGGGTAATCACTCTAATGGTTAGATTATGAACTTTTGAGCACGTATTGATTAATTTATATAATATTTGGCTAGTTTCGAGTTATTTGGCACCAAGTTGAGGGCTTAGGATGGATTTGTGGACTGGAAGTGCACTTGAGAACGAGGTAAGTCTCTTGTCTAACCTTGTAAGAAGGAACTCATCCCCTTAGGTGTATCTTGTTGTGTATTACTTGTGTGGAGAGCTACGTATGCAATAGGTGACGACAGTACGTGCGTAGCTATATTCTATGAGATGTCTGTATAGTCTTAGATCCACATCATGCTTTGATTGTACTGTTATGTTTATTATGCATATTAATTCTCTTAGATAAAGCTGAGACTAGGAATTTTAAAGTTGTAATTCTCTAATTTAGATTTCTTATTTTTGGAAAGAATTGAGGAATACTTAATAACTCTGAGAAATTCATGTCTACTCGCGTAGCAAGTACTTCCGCAAACGAAGTAATCTTCTCTACTCTCATGGGAGCGGGTCGTTTGCCTCTGTAGCATAATAGATGCATCTATGGTTCGTGTCGTTCGACTCTCGGCAGAGCACACAGTATATTTTTGGATCGGGTCGTACGACCTCAGCATAAATCGTGTGTGATAATACTCGAAGCCTGATTATAGTTGGTATTATTTTATGGCTTGACAGAAATTGATTTGGAGTTAGTAGGTGTTGGTTAGAGATTTTGGAATTTACTAACAATTAAAGAATCATTTATTCACGGGTCGCTATTGTGTTATTATTATTATTTACATGTCTCATGCTTATTTAGAATTTCTGTATTGTATTTATTGGCCCATAGTAAGTGTCGTTGTCGACCCCTCGTCACTACTTCTTCAAGGTTAGACTAGATACTTACTGGGTACATATTTTTTATGTACTCACGCTACACTTTTGCACTAATCGTGCAGAATCTGAGGCAGGTGCATTTGGAAGTCATCTGGCACGCACCCCCATTATCCCGAAGCTTAGTGATGAGCTGCTTTCTGAGTCCGTTCTACAGCACCGAAGTCTCTCTTTTGTATTTACTTTCTGTCTACTCTATTTCAGACAATAGTTTGTTTTGCATATTCTACTAGTTGCTCAAACGCTTGTGACACCGGGTCTTAAAAACAAGCCAGTAGACTTTATGGTTTTTGGGCATTTATTTCACTGCATTTGTTCTTTCATTAGTTTTCGCTTTACTTTATTAAAATTTTCACTTCTTATTTCTTTAATAAATAAAGATTCAACCACTTTGAAATTATTAAAAAGCACAATTACATGGTTAGTTCACTGTTGGATTGTCTAGCGGCGACATTGGGGCCATCACGGCCTATAGGAGAAATTGGGTCGTGACAGCTCTAAATTATAACCAAGTTCTCCACGTAAGATGGAGCAAATAATGATATTGCTGACAATCACTCGATTACCTATTAACCCTATGTTCTAATCATCGATCTTCATACTTCCTATCGAGGGTCCTATGGAATAGATTCAAAATTTAAAATCACTAAAAGATTTTTTTTATTAGCATAACTTACTAGTGACTCACAAGGTAGGGGTAAGATCTGCGTACACACTACCCTTTCTAGTCTCCATGGTGGATAATACTGGGTATGTTATTGTAACATACTAGTAACATATTATAGGTTCTGATTTTGGTAAGCTCACGTGACTTAATACGCATATATATATATATATA